CTTTGGGCAAACTAGCACCCCCCCAACTGCAAAAACAAACTGAGCCACAATCAAAACCCGGTATCAAAATGGTGAACCCAGAGCCATTTAAAGAATTAAGAAGGCGGCCGCAGCTATTTATGGCTGGGACTGGCCCTTACTACTAACCTTCATCTACCGGGTTTTGATTGTGGCTCAACTGACGTTGACCCCAACGCCAGAAAGCCATGAAACTGGACAAAAATGTGCCCTCGGGCCCAACCGCCAAGCCTCCCTGCCATGCCTACACCTACTGCCTCAAACATCGGCCATTACATTTCCAGCCCCAAACGTTGTAGCATTTGGGCTGGCTAGGCATTCAAATGGTCACAGTCCTTTTCATCGGCCGTGTGCTCCATAGACCCAAGCGGCTACACGGGTGACCAACGTTTCAAATGCCTGTGAGAAGCATCACGTGTGTCTAACATTCGTTTCACAATGTCCAATCAATGTAGTGGGGGCACCCCAAACATGTATTTGCTTTTTGGTTTCCTTCAGGTACAGGTCGGCTACATTTGCCCCCGCAGGGTTACGGGCATGTCTCGAACCATTCCAATGTGTAAGACAAAGCCTCAAAAAGGGATTGAAGTGGCATGGCACACACATGTGATAGAAACCAACCATGTATACCAGAAGTAGCCCGGCCAAAGTGAATGATACCCTTTGCCATGAAAATCCTAGAAGGCCTGGGCTCGGCGTACATGAAACTTCCTAGGCAGTGTCTAGTCAGAACTCAAATGAGACACTCCGAGGCGCATGCCGATTCATGCCTCGCAGGGGAATTTGGAAACAGCATGTTTTGAGGGCTGATTCTATCTCCTAGCAGGGCTAATGATACCGAATGGCCGACACATTGCCGCTTGAATGGAACACTAATTGGACACACCGTGAACCATGAGCCGCCTGCTGCAATATGGTAAGCGCTGAATGCGGTGTGGGTGTGACATCCCCTTTTTAAAAGCATCTCCTGGCCTCCACGTTGCTGACAAATTGCTCCAAACGGGGGATCTTCCGAAGTGTCACAACTTCAGAACAACGGAAACCGCATAAGGATTAAGGAATGATGGACGCTGCATGCTGCACAGCCCAGACTGAACCCAAACGGCGAAGACATCGGCCCAGCCTCCGCATTGCGCTCGGCCCGCTTGAGCCGCACAGCCGTCAGGGGGCCTTGTATTCTGGCAGCGTGCTCCACTTCGCACGCGTAACATGTCGCGCACGTGTGTGGGTGGTCTAAAATCCGAGACCCCCCAATGATGGTTGTCCTTTTGGTGGCTCCTTTGGAGCAACCAACCCCCCCTCCCAAAAAAAAGAGAAAAAACGAAAAAGCAGCACCCTCAACAGTACAGGCACGCATCTTGCCGAATAGGCATGGCTTCAGGAGCTAAACTGGGCAATGCGCCACTGTCAGACATCTTTCCTGAAACCACACTACCCGGCACGGCTCTGACAGGCTTGCCGTCACAAATCTGCAAAGCTTCAGGTGCTGTGACCCTTTGAGACAAAATTCCTTCAAAAAACCAACTACATCCGTCTGGCGGCTACTTGCCGAACACCTGGCTTTTGATCACCATGGTGTTTTGCATTGACGTCGAGGAATGTTGAACAAAGAGGGAGGGAGGGGAGGGAGGGGAGGGGAGGGGAGGGGAGGGGGGGAGGGGAGGGGAGGGGAGGGGAGGGGAGGGGAGGGGAGGGAGGGGGGGGAGGGGAGGGGAGGGGAGGGGAGGGGAGGGGGAGGGGAGGGGAGGGGAGGGGAGGGGAGGGAGGGGAGGGGAGGGGAGGGGAGGGGAGGGAGGAGGGGAGGGAGGGGGGAGGGGGAGGGGAGGGGGGGGGGGAGGGGGGGGAGGGGGAGGAGAGGGGAGGGGAGGGGAGGGGAGGGGGAGGGAGGGGAGGGGAGGGGAGGGGAGAGGGAGGGAGGGGAGGGGAGGGGAGGGGAGGGGAGGGGAGGGGAGGGGAGGGGGAGGGAAAGAGAGAAAAAGAGAGAGAGAGAGAGAGAAAGAAAGAAAGAAAGAAAGAAAGAAAGAAAGAAAGAAAGAAAGAAAGAAAGAACGAAAGAAAGAAAGAAAGCAAGAAAGAAAGAAAGAAAGAAAGAAAGAAGGAAGGAAGGAAGGAAGGAAGGGAGGAAGGAAAGAAAGAAAGAAAAGAGAGGAATTGAGAGAAAGAGATCTGACACATTTCGCTTCCCTCCGGCTCACAACTTGTATACTGGCCGCGGGCGATGCGCATCTAATATCACCTGATACCCCGCCTCCCCCCGCCCAGCCTACACCCTCCTCTGCCAAACCAGCAAAGGAGTCTGCCACTGCAGAGTGGGCCTGCGACGGCTAGAGGAAAAGTCCTACATCCCACAACCGGTTGGCTCGGACGCCTTTGATGTTGCTCCGAAAAATCGCTTCCCGGGCGACTTGGCCATGATTTTTGATAGGAAACCACCTCGGAAGTGGGGTTTGGATTTGAATCCCTACCAAAATCATGTCCAAAGTGGCTCCCATTCGTACTCATTCCCGTTTCTGACATGACTTTTTCCGGGCTGGCCTTGCTTCCCTAATGGAGCCGGTGTGGCTGTGAAAACCCGGATTCTTCTTCCCGCGCTGCTGACCAGCAGTTGGACTTTCAGACTGTCGACCCAAAGGTCGAAAGCAAACGTCACGCCCCTCCCAGAGATGAACATCCCAGGTGCACAGGGCTCTCTTCCAACAGTCCAAACGGGGTGAACGAAGCTGGCAGGATCCAGAAACCGACGAGTTGATGCTTCGACTGGTGGCCATAGCCAGCCGGTTGAATCTTTGCTTGAACCGGCTTTATCTGTCGTCTAAACTTGCGGATTCACGTTGCAATTGCGCCCCATCAAGACTTGCAACGGCCCTAGAAGCCCTGCAAATACAGCAAGCAACGCAACAAACACCTAGCAACTAAACAAAACAAAACCGAACCGATCAAAACCAACCACCAAATCCATGCCAATCTAACCTCCGGCCGCACCCAACCAGCCCCTCCGCGCCAAACCGAGGACATGGCATAGAACTCGCTAAACCCCTGTGTTCCGGTGGAATTAGGCCTGCTCACCGACACGAACACGAGATCCTTGCCTTTTTCGCGGGCCGCGTTGACTCACAACACGCCAAAAGGAAACAGATCCGGCAAGTCATCCGCAGCCAGGCCATCCAAACCAATCATGAGGAAGCTTGGTGCCTCAGAACATCTTTCAAGGGATGACCTCTATAGGGCTTGCTGGACCATCTGCCGCCCCCGGCGCCTTCGGCGCCCGCCTCCCGGACCCACCCAGTGAGGTTTCCGAAGAGCCGTTGGGCGCCTTGCACCGTCCGGGCCTTGTTTCGCCGCTCGCGAGTGCTCTGGCGACATGCGCTATAGAACGAAGTACATAAGCAAACCAAACAAACAAGCACCTATCACGCAACAAACAAAAACAAATATCCGCTTTCCAGCGCCATGAACGGCGGATGTGGAGCTTGCGTCTGAGGCCAGCGGCCGCCGTCTCCTGCAAGGCCTGCGCATCGATGACCTCCTTCCTGACGTCGTTCTCTTGCGCTGTGCGTGGCGGGAGGTTCTTACAATTGGGGGCTGTTTGGAAGTAAGAGAAGCGAAAAGAAAGCAGCGCATAGTGCTTCATAGAACCTGTGGCACAATATAATTTTGTAGTGGGATATGTTTTGGGTAAAAACTAGAAGTTTACGGGGATGGCTGTGACCCGCCAAGACTTGTCTCCAATATGAAGGGGGCGTCCTGACGTATGAACAAGCAAACCCTCACCTCACAATCGCTGCACAGAGGCTTAAACAGCCGCCATCGCTTGTGGGCCGACAGGCGCGACAATGCCGACGGCAGCACGAAAGGCAAGTTTCGGGCTCCATGTTGGGAAACATCCTATTGAGCCTTGTCGGAGCACGCTGGCCCTTGTCCCCCCTTCTTTGAGATCAGTTTTGTAAGCCATACATTTCCCAATTTGGCGGTCTTTAAATCAGGCCGGGGGGGGCGCATGTGGGGGTGAATCCCTTTTGGGGCACACGATGGATGGATGGACGGAGGGCTCAAGACCCTGGACTGGCCACGCTGCACAAGCGGGCGCGCAGGGGCACCATTCCACCCGGGCGGGCCAAGGCTACCAGTTGCCGAGGATGTTCAAAAAATCAGCAAGCTGCGAGTTTAGGCTGAGGCGTCCTGGCTCCTCGCCGACCCAGACTTCCCATGAACGTCCATGTCCAACATGTTTTTAGAGCGGACCAAAAGGTGCCATTTGTCCAAAGCCCGGACCCAAAGCTACCCTTCGGCTCAGCTCCCAGCGCCGAGCGCTCGCCTTTGGCATCAGCCTGGCACCCGAAAAGGCGAAGAAATCTGGGCACAAACCGGCCGTTTATCTTACAATTGGGTAACCCCCCAAAATGGGGTTCGTTGTTACCTTTGGTGTCACATTGGAACAAACAAAAAGGGTTCCACGGAAAAAAAAACAATGAAAAACAACACATCCACCTGGCTTGGCGCACCCATTTTTGCTGCCCTAAGTAGGTTTTGGATTGCAAGGTTTTGGTTGCACCTCACTCGTCGAACAGACCCTGAGACGAAAAAAAGCGCTTGGGCTCATAACTGAAGATACGTGTCCCAAATTAGTTCGCTGAAAATAAGGGTGTTGCTGCTGTTTGCGGTGTCCCAATTTGAGGATAACGCCAAAGCGACTCACCAAAACAGGGGTGCCAAAAGGACACAACCTTGGCTTTGGGAGAAGCACTTTCCAGCTGCTGAGCAGTACCGTGCATTTAACCGAAGCACGACGTGGGTGGTTGCATGTGTGCGTCCCATGTTGACATTGAACCGCGCTCGCGCGCCGACACGGGACGTCTCAGCGAATGCGCTTGGGCGACTCATAATTACTACTCACTCATCCTTCACTAAAGGAAAGGACTCCCAAGAAAGGAACATTCTTCACCAGGCCCAGATCAGACGGTGTCGCCACTTTTCCAGCTATTTCACAGCTCTCTTCTGCGTGTCCGAGATGCTCCGCGCTCCTCGGGCAAGCGTATGCAAGACGTGTGACACCCTGAGAACACGAGAGGAGGCACACGCTCACGCGCAAACTGTTCCGGTTTGCGTGTTGGAGGTATGATGGTTGCATACTGTATAAGAGGTGTATACTCCGTTACAAGCATACATTTGTGGCTCGTAATCGGCACACCTCTAAACTCATCTGGAAATGTCATTGAGATTTTAGTTTGGATCAAGGGCTCTACGGCCTACGGAAGGATGTGCAGCGCCCAAATTAAATGCAAGCAAACACAGCAGCAACATTGAGCTTTGGTTTGTAACATCAAGACCAAGGTTCACTTATGCATTACAAAGCAAAACCGATGCAGGATGCGCGACTGGTTTAACCAAAGAGCCCCGGGCAGCTACAGTTGGGTGAGCCGAGACTGGTTGCACACCGTCGGGAGTTTGTTCTTGAGTTGCATCGTCAACAAACATGTTGTATCTTCGCGTGTGCGCGTGGCCACCCGCAACCGGCGCCTAGCCGGAGTCATTCAGCTACTGCCATGGGGCTTCATCCTTTCCCTACAGTTCGTTCAAGTGGCGGGGTCATGGGATGGAAAACCCCACTCTTATTGCAGTTGATGTCGCGGGAAAGGAACAACTGTCACTGGAGGCCTGGGCTTGTGGCTTTAGGCTTTAGGTCTCAGGCGCGAACGAGCAATCTCCCGTTGGTTCGTGGAACGGAGAAGTCAGGCCGGATCCATAGGGGCGTGCCCCTCCTTCAAGGGGGGCCTCCGTGGCTTTTTCTGGGCTGCTGGGTTAGTAGTCCTGGGTTCCCATTAATGTTGCCCCCCTATTGATAAGCTTATTAGTAGGGGTGTGTTTGTGGTTTTACTGAGGATTCATCAATTGAGGGGAACACCCCCCTGTTGTCATTACAGGGGTCTCGACCTTCAGGATGTCCAGCTTCCCAGGCATGGACAACACGACGATGTGCCCAACTGCCCCGAACACCACCGCCCAACTCAGGCTGGCCCCATGTGGCAACAGCCTCGGCGACAGCGAAGCAACTCATTTGTTCGGGTCCATCTAAGTGACATCCTCAAATGTGCGCCTAGAAATGGATTGTCCTTTGGGTAAATTTTAGGACCCGCCCCACCGGTACCCAATAGACCTGCTTTTTTGGCAGAGACACCATTCCAAAAAAATCGCATTGACCACAGGTTTCCGGCCGGTGCAGGGTGGCAGGGTGGCTCCGAGGTGCAAGCAGCTCCACTAGGCGCCGGTGGCCTGGAAAAACCGAAAATCCATGCGCTGGATCCAGGGAATCCACGAGACTGCAACGGATGAAACAAAACCCGTGCGATTTTTATTTTCCCTACAGATCTCAAAGGCAGAAAAGAGCAGATTTACTCAATCACTGAGCAGTCCTAAGAGGCTAAGAGGGGTGGGCTGTTTCCGCCAAAGGTGATGATTCAATCTGATTCCCCACTAAAAGGGGACACTCCCCCTCCAGGGGTTTATTCGTCCGGGGTTCCCAAAAAACTGACCTTCTAAAGAAGGAACACCATTCATGTAACATGAATGAATGCAGGCTGCCTGCACTTGGAAACCAACCGCCACTTGTGGATGCAAAAACTGTTTAGCCGAAGCGAAGCCCGACGGACCGTGTTTGGGGCCAGGAACCCAACAAACATGTTTCTGACATGTTGGCAGTCACATGGAAAGCAGCTTTTTCTCGCTTATCTTGGGATCGCTTGGCACCTGGTAGGCCCCCAATGAGTTTTATCAGGGGGGGGCCGGCAGGGAGAAAATCCATTCTCTCGGGGGTATCGCCGGGAGGGTTCAAATGGATGACTGCGGTGGGTCGTGTCATTTATCTTACTTCTTTTTGTCACCGAGGGGATTGGCTCCCAGCACGGAGAACAAGCTATTCCCCTGAAGGAAAGGCATGCCGAGGTGGAATATCCCTCGATTGATCTCCCTATGGGACACGTCCCTTCCTGGTCTGACCCCCCTTGATAGTGGAGCAACCAATCACGTTCCATTTTGGACACACTGAGCAATCAAAACTTGGTCATGGTAGGCAAAATCCTGGAAACCCGTTGGCTGACTTGACTGTCCCCTTGTAATCGTAGCTAAGTTAGGCCGACTGTCCCCCTACTGGGTCCATGAAAGTGACACCCCTCAAAAAAAACCTCTAAATGGCAGCTTCAAGGCAAACTAATGTTAAGCCCACCCTGGAAGGCACCGCGGGATCCCCTTGGCTCAGCGGACCTGGGCAGGAGCGCTTCTTGAAGTTGGAGATTCTCAAATGGCCCTGTGGGCCTTTGGCCATGGGAATCCGTCTGTTGGCACAGGTGTGCCTTTGGGGGCCCCTCAAAAAATACCGGAGGATGAGTGTCCCTTTCTCACGGTACCCTTTTTTTCGCGGCTTCAAAGAAGAGCCAAAAGGGGAACCACCATTCTGGGGGTCCTAAATAAAGACACACCCAATTTGTGGAGCCCATGTCCTAAAGACCACCCAGCCTTGTGCCCGCGCCGCCGCCAGTGGGCCCTGCAGCTCTGCCCCGGCCGCCACCAGCACCTCTGCCGCCTGAAGGTTCAGCCGGGTGAGCAAGTGCCTCACCTCCACCTTTGTTCCATGGACTTGCTTGCAGTGGTACCTCCACCTGCGTTCCATGATGTAAGCCTTGGTTGAATCCAATGTGGTGTTGGGATGACTTGGAGACATAGAAACTAGGATGTGAAATGGAAGCCAGGTCTCCCTGCTCTCCCTGCTCATGAAAAAGGCTTTGTGAAGTGCAACAAACGTTGTCACAAGGGAAGTGCCGGAGAACACAAGAGTGGGCAAGCTGCTTCTCACATGCATCCTGAGGCAGGCGTGACATAACCTCGAACAAAGAAAGCCAAAGCCCCATCGACAGGATGTTTAAAACCTTCTTAGAGGCTCTCAGTCAGCTTCCCTCTAATTGGTGGTTTGGTGGTTCGGACGGATTCCCATTTACTCTCTACAAGAACCAGGGGTTCACATCCCAACCCATTGAGGGTTAGCTAACTAAGAATATTTTTGGTGTAGGGCCTTGCCCCTCTCTGAACAACAAGCGGATTCGAGCAGATTCCTGGGTCACCAAGAGCGTCGCACAAAGGCACTGCCGAGTTGAGTGGTATTGGGCCCCCATGCCTTCTGAGTTCATATTGACTCTCATGAGTCCCTTCACCAAAAGGAGAATGTTCCAAACAGGGCATGCAAATCAAGTTGTCAAACACAAAACACGATGGCCAAACAAAGCCAGAATGGCAACACCTCATGTCCAAGAAGGACATGGACATTCCAAAAGCCGAAAACAAAAGACAATGGCCCAGCGAATCTCAAAGCGGCAGCACACTCCCCAAATGGCCAAAACACCTCAGGATGGCCCAAACACGTCATGTGTAGGAAACACCAGTTGCCCCCCCCCCCCCACGCGTGCCGAGCGCGCTCTGATCGGAGGCTTGATTCTTGTCCATACCCAATGAACCTTACAATGTTACATAATCCCCTGCAAACGAGGATGGAACCCTCTACGGTTGTAGAGAAAGCTGAAAGTGGGTACGTTTGTTTCTTGCTTCTTTTGCTTTCATTGCGTTTTTCTTCTCTTCTTCTTTCGTGTTCATGTTTTTTTTTGGGGGGGGGAAGGGGGGGGGTAAGGGGGGGGGGGAAGGGGGGGGGAAGGGGGGCGCCTACCCCGATTTTCACACATCCCCTCGGCTCGGCTCGGCGCCTGCAGGCGGTCCTGCGCCGCCGCGAAGTGCAGCGCCGTGGCCTGGCGCAGGTCGGCGCCGGAGCCGTCGGCGCGGCGGGCCAGGAGGTACGCCACGATGGCCTCAGCGGCCGGAAGCCCGGGGTAGGGCTGCTTGGTTTTCCAGATTTGAGAGATTAGAATAAGTTGGTAATTACCCGATATGTTTTCTTTGTAGTCTATTTTAGTAGGGGAAGCCTCAGCGACCGGAAGGGTAGAATTGGATCGAAGTGATCAACTCCCATGAACCACCTGCTCCAGACGACCAGTGGGCAATGGGTTGGCCCCAGAGAGGCCGGATCCATGTAGCAGAACCACCTACTCCAAATGGCCAGTGGGCAGTTGGCCAGCTCCTCCAGTGGAGAGGTTAGAATAAGTTGGTACCCTATTTTTTTCTGTAGTCTATTTTAGTTGGAGAACCCAACCCCAAAACAGGGTCAACGGGCACCACTAAAAAAACCAAGTTTGGATCGAAGGCTCTCCAAAAAGGGCTGCCACTCGTGGCTGGGAACGCAGGCGTAGGGGTGTGTGTGTGTGTGTGTGTGTGTGGTATGATATCGTCTGTATGGGTATGGATCTAAGGCTCCAAAGTTTGGCTGGAGCCCAGGTGGTATGGCAGAAAATTAGAGGGCTGGGGTTAAGGAGGTCTCAGTCTTTGGCTCCATTTACCAAGGTGCCATTTCGGCGCATGTTCTTTTGAGCCACTGGCCACGCCCAAGCAACTAGGGGAAATCAGGGTGAGGTACCTTTACCCGAGCTGTGCCGCTGGGGTAGCCATGGTGGCTACAGGGGTCCTCTGGGTACACTGGAAAACCCACCAGAAATCCCTGTTTTGCGTATGTACGTGTCCCCTCCCTACGGGTTTTGCGTCTGGTTTCTGAGTAGTGATTGGGGTGGTTGGGTTCGTGGGGGCAAGGGGGGAGCCCAGTGTTTTGGGTTGCTTTAAAGGGATGGCAAAAGAAAACTCACCATTCTAGGGAGTAAAGAACAGGGAAACCACAGCATCTGGCTTGTGACAATTCCTGGAAAAAAGTCAGCAACACATAGCAAAGCAAGTTGTGCAGTGAGTTTGTTAGAAAAAACAAATAAGATTACCTTTTTAGGTTGGTCCATGTTTGATGGGACAATCATTAAATGCACTAAGAACAGAAGGCACGATTCGGAGGTTGTTTCAGAAGTACGGGAACCTCCGGCGCAGGCGATGTTCCCTGAATTCAACACGCACAAAAAACAGTGCCCTCAAACAGCATTCTCATTTTCACAAAGCTGCTCTCAACTACACCCGCCCCACACACGCAAAGAAACACGGAGGCAAACACAGACACAAAGACACAGACGCACACACGACAACTCGATTCTTGATCTAGTCTATTTTGTCCTGTCCCGACGGTCGTGTTTGGGGTGGATGGTGTCCCGTAGAGCCACCATGAGCCACCGCGTTTCCCCCCAACCAAAGCAATATGTTTGATATTGCTTGACGGCCCATGCTTAGCCAACATGCGTGGGACCTTGTGCAACATGAAACCGCATCGCAGAGGTGGGGTGGCTGCAAGGCGCCGCGTGGCCAACCCCGGCCGCCCAGTGCAAGGGCAGCTCGCCCTTGCCCCCTGCGGCGGACACGTTAGCGCCCGCCTCGCAAGGCGCAAGGCCCGCGGTTGAAGTGGCATAGAAACCAGCTGGCTTAGGTGCCCTTCTGGAAAAATCGATGGGTTTCCCTGGTAAATGGTTGGTGGATATAACCGATGTAAACCAGTGGGACCCATCCATTTCCTGGCTTGAGAAGTTTGCCAACAGTAGCAAGTAATGACCTTGGCAATTAAAATAGAATTTGAGAGATCGATTTGGGGTCGATCACGTATTGAATGGGCAAAACACACACCTGGCCTCCACTAAAAAGGCCACAGTGGCCACGTCGCTCTCCAAGGCGGCGTAGTGGATGGGCTGAATGCCTCGCGTTCGTTTTGGCGGGATCCCCACAGATAAAACCGCGTTTAAAGGGGCTTGGTTCTTGTGGCAAAATAGGGGATCCCTGCTGCTTTGCTTGAGGTTCTGTCTCCCGTCCTGCGCCCAAATTTTCCAGTGACTTCCGTCCGTCACTGCGCCCTTGAGCTGACTGACTGACTGCCGACTGACTGACGACTGACTGACGGACGGACTGACGGACGGACTGCCTGGCATCACCGCGCAGGCCCGCCTTTCTCATCTTGCACATGCGCTGAGGCACGGCGCGACAGAAGAAACCTCCGATGGTGGAAATCCGAAAGGCTCCCCCTTGCGGAATGTCACTTAATGCTGACCCCTGATTAACAACCCCCCACGTCTTATTTAGGGGGGTCCCTGTTTAGTGGGGAATCCTTTCTTCCAGGTCAGACGGTGCCCCTAAAATGGCGGTTCCGTTAAAAGGTTGGCTAAAATCAAATGCGACCTTCGGGAAGCGCCTGCCTCTCCTTCTCCCCAAGCTGTTCACAATTCGTTTAAGGCTACTGTAAGGCTCACACACGTCCACTGGCACCCCACGTCACTGAACGTTCAAAACCACCACTGGAAGCATCACACCCGTGATCAAAGGAGCCAAAGGAGGCCCTCTGAGGACATCCCTGGCCCGATTTCAAACACTTTCCAAATCCGTTAAATTAGGAGCCTGGCAATTCCATAAGCAATGGATACATTTGTACAACAAAGTGTTCCAGCAGCAACATGATATATTGCAGTATGGGGCATACCTCTTTCAACCGGCGCGCACGCACACACACAGAACTGAACGCATCGAAAGAGAAGTTCAGGATGAGGAGCTGCACAAATTGCAATAATTCTGTGTGCAACTGGGAACGAAGACTTCCTCTAGAGATTAACCTCCCTCATGAGGAATCATGCTTTATCCGGCGGAAACCCAGCATGGGGCATGGCTTGTGACAAACAACCGCATGCTCCACCGAAAGCAAGACGCAGCGCAACCATCCGACAACAGGCTGAGTAGCCCAATACGTTAATCTTCAACTAGGAGTTGGACTTTGATGCCTCTAATCCCCAAGATCTGGCCCTTTCGAGCCAGGACGGCCACCATCAAACTGAAGGCTCACCCTGGCCCCATCCCTGGGTGCCCGGCTCCATGATGGGCCGGTGTCCAGACAAGGCGGCCCAGTGCAACGCTTCTGGGGGCCCTCGCTCCTGTCGGCTTCCAGACGACCCCGGTGAAGTGACACCCACGGAGCCCAGTTTTTCCGTGGCTTTGCCTAGCAAAGGCCCTTGCCTGACGTTGACTGCCCGCTGTGAGCCAGCATCGAAGCAATACCCACTGCATACGGTACACGGTAGGCATGTAAGTCCACAGAGTTTAAACTTTTTGGAGGGTGCACGTTGCTTCCCGTTGGGTCCTTCCGTGTCCTTCCATTCCCTGATAACTTTGCAACAGCTAATGCCTGAGGAACCAAATCTTACATTTTGAGATCCCCTCCCCTGAACAAATGCAAGCTGCTCATCCCAATGTGCCTCAGTCAATGGCATGCTTGCAAAATGCCATTGGCAAGGGCTCAATTGACACTCTCTTTGTCATAGGCACTTTCACTTGAGGGAGGGCGGACCAAAAGCTGCCAGAAATGCGCAAAAACAAATCCTCTTTGTAGGCATCCCCCGAACGCATGTGACCCAGACATGTCTTAAATTGCATGCAAACGAAAAAGCGCGTTCGCGAAAAAGGCAACCGCGGGCGGCAGCAAACCAGTCCAGCCGGATAGACTAGGGTCGTCGAAATGGCATAACAAACATCAAAGCATGTGTCAAAACAGTCCAGCCCGAACGCGGCGGGATATCCCGCTGTTTTGAACCATCGGCAAAATGGATTTCACGTTCCAATGATCCTTTTGAACCCGCAATCTTGTTCACCCGCTGCCCAAGCCAAGCCTCTTCAATAATTCGAGGCCAATTACTCGGAAAAAGGGCGGCACCTACTTATCACTTGACCTACCCAGACGTCCGTTGCGCCTCACATTTGCTTTGCCCGACGAGCCCTTGACCAGGCTTGGGCCAACCCCATGTTGAACATAGGTTGCTGAAATGAGGGGGGAGAAAATGAAGGTATGTGCGCAAATGCGCAGAGTCCTTTCCGGTGGTTGAACAGGGGGCCGAAAAACAAATGCGAACCCAACGGATGTTGTTCAGTGTGGTTCCAAGTCCACCCACCCCAGCAAAAGGAAACCATTCAACAAAACAAACAAACAAACAAACAAACAAACAAACAAACAAACAAACAAACAAACAAACAAAAACACTCGTTTCAACCAGCACCTTGGAGACTTTTGCCTTCCCCCGTTACCGTCCCGCCAGCGCCCCGATGCGATTTGGGGCTCCTGGCGCCAGAGCTTCGCATCGGCGTCCGCCAGGAACCGCAGGGCTGCCAGGTCGCCACGCTCCGCCGCCATGGCCGCGGCGCTCTTCCCTGGCGAGTGGTGTGACCCGTTGGGTGGAAGATGGGGTTCCGTTTTGGAGACTCCTCCCTGGGCCTCAAACCACTAAAACAACTGGGGGTTGGTAGAGCCATCCTTAGTTACCTAAGGAGTTTCAGCATCCAAGTTGAGTCAACCGTCCTTTAATCGAGGTTGAACCCTAGGGCCTTGGTGGGGATGAGGGGTGCTTTGGGGTGAATGGAAACCAAAGGAAAACCACTTTCCCCAAAAGAGTTGTAGGACTCATTTGTTTTCCTCAGCTGAAAGCTACGGGGTCTCTGTCCAGCTAAGCTTCGGAATTATTCGCAGCAGCTCTGAGGTTTGGTTCTGGAGCGGAGATTCCATGGAGCAGTTGCCGGGCAGGCAGGTCTCCACATGGAGGGTTCTGCAAGGTTCTGGTGGGGGTTTCATGGGGTGGTTGCTCGATAGCCTTCCAGGTGCTTCCAAACGATCCCGGACACGGAGGATTCTGGGAGGGTTCTGGGAGGGCCTGCGAGGGCTCTCAAGGGCTCCACAATGTTGGCTCGGTGGCATGGGGCGGCTGTTGGAATGGGTACCCAAAAAAATTACAGGTGGTTCGGAGCCGCCGCGTTCTTGGGTTCCCAAAGAGCTGTGGTTGCTGCTGTTGGCGATGCCATCGGCTTATTGGAGACTCTTTTTGGTGTTGGAAGCCAACGGAAACCAATTTTCGGAGGTTGAACTCGGTTTATGAGAACCTGTTTGGGGACCCTGAACTGACATCGTCTCTGCAAAAATCGTTCCAACAAGCTGAGCTAGGAAAGCTTGGGGTTCAACCATTAGTGTTATCCTTGAGCCGGCTTAAACAATTATCAGCCAGCCTGAAAATTGAAGCCCTTTCTGACTCAATTGACGTATGCCAACACTCAACAATCCTAGCCATATTCGGCCGCTTTCCTGTGGGGCTTCCGGTAGACGCATACATTCAAAAGTCACGTGTTTGACAAGGAGATCCGCCAACTCAGCAGGTACAAGTTGTCTGACTGGCCCAGATGCATCCCTGTGACTTTGTGAAATGTCAACACCCGAAACAAGAATGAGGACCCACAGCATTTGCTAGTTTCACCCCCAAACCAGTGAGCAGACTAACAGGTACCGGGTGACTAACAAGTACCGGGTGACTAACAGGTACCAGGTGACACAAATGATGAAAATAATTCATTCTTTGTAACGCAAGCACTTGGACATCATACAGCGCTGGAAAGCAAAGACTCCCAAAAAACAACATAAGTTATAAGGCGAACCAATGCAAGCACCCACCTCTGCTTCATGATTTCCCATCCTTTGTTGACCGGCAGTTGGCAGATTGACATTTGGCTTTTGATTGGATCTGAAATCAACCCTCCCCGCCAAGCAGAATAATACTGATGGACAAGTAGAACACGAGCAAGACAATAAAATCATTCAAACAAACATGTTTAAACGATGTGGGTGTGGGCCTGCGGGTCCTTGTCAAGGTGACCCAGCCCCCCCACCCCCCAAATTGTGGTTGTGCTGCTGTTTGCTTTACAAAAGCCCGCCAGAAAAGAGACAAACACCTCCCCCCCAGGGTTTGCCTTATTTTCCACTGAAATAAACAGCCTCCCTTGAAAAGGGGTTCTACACTACCAGGGGAGCTGCTTATCTTTCCCACAAACAGCGGAAAAGGCAAACCTTCCCCCCCCCTTGCCCCACGGCCCGGGCTTCCGCCTTCCGCATCCATGGGCTCCAGCCGCGCCCCCGCTGCCACCAGGCGCCGCAGCACCGCCAAATGCCCCGCCGAGGCGCCGCGCATCAGCGGGGTGAAGCCTCGAATTGGGTTTGAACGGCTCACCCGGTGGATCGATTTTGGCTTTGAAAAGGATGGAATGTTGGATGGAACGGATGGAAGAAACGCGTGGAGTGTTGGATGAAACTAAGATGAAACGGATGGAACCTGTGGATTGAACGGACTTTTTGGGATCAAACGGGTGGAACTTTGGGACTGAAACGGGTCGAGACAAATGGAACTTGCGGATGAACAGTGGCTGAACAAACAGGGATACAATTGTGGCTAGCTCACATCTTCCCAAAACAAACCGAATCATCCAATTTCAATGGCTAGTAGGCAACCAAGGGAATGACTCATTGAAAACTACAATTGCTGGTTGCTATAGGTGTAACTGGGACTACAGAAGGCTCTACATACCCCCCTTCTATGCATCGTGTTGTATGTATATAAGTATATATGCCCTCTATATATATATATATATATATATCATCCATCTTTACAGATATTACAATGTTTTATAAATATACAATCCTCTGTGCATAAATCTATATATATACATACGCGTAGAATTATATACGGCTTTTGGATGGAGGGTGTCTATTGGTCCGACAGTGGCCACCGGTGGTAATTCCATGCCCTCGTGCAGGTATTCAGTTTCCGTATGGTCAAAGACACATCCTTGCCTCTTAACAAGCATGAACGAGACATACAAACAAAGGCAGTAGTTATTTTTGTTGGTTGACCTCCTACAACTCGCTCTAGATGCAGTTCAAACTACAAGGTCTTTGTTGTCTCTCCTGCCCAACCTACCCATGGACTAAATCCTGCTTGGGCTGGATTGACTCCTGCCATTGCCAAAGTCAGGACATCTGAGTTTGTGCCACTTGACGTAAAGCCCCTCAACAAATGTGGAAGACCAAAGGGTGTTGCGGTGTGGTAATTGGGGGCGGCGGGCTGTAAACGAAATGGCTGGTATACATCACCAGCTCGTAAACATGGTCAGCTGGCAGCTCGTTGTTCTCGATGCTTGGCTTGAACAAAAAAACATTGAACGCCATGCGAAGACCCAATCCTAATCGGAGAGGTTTTGGCGCTCATGAGGCCTTGTGGCCCCCCACGGCTGGGAGGCACTTGGAGGCACTTGGGAAGGCCACAGCCCTGAAACCTGTAGGGAAGGGCTTGTTTCTTTGTTGGACTGTCTAGGGTTTAAAGAGAAGCCCCCAATGAGCAAGAAGGACACCTGCTTCTTGAAAGGACTGGGACACCGCCTAGAAGGAAAACCGCGTGGCGTTTCACTTGGACGATTTGATAAACTCCGTGGCAAGCAAATGCTCTGCGAAGACTGGACTGCCTATTGTTTGCAATAGCTTCCCTCTGATTGGTGGTTTGGATTGGTGGTTTCGCGGTTGAGGGTGGTTCCCCATGCACCCTCAGCAAGAACTAGGGGTTCAAATCCCCAAGCCACCAAGCCAAACCACCAAGTGAGGGTTGCCTGATTGCAGGGTAACGCCCTCTAAACAAAACGAAACAAACCAACACGTTGGACCGGGCAGCGGCTGGCGTCGCGGCGGTTCACTTCAGCGGGTTTCTCCTGCCATCTCACAAGTGGCGTTCTGACGGTTGCTCCCCGGTTTGGCGTGGGTGGCACGTGCAAGGCCTGAAATAGCGGTGAGCTTCTCTTTGCCCAAGCCGCTAATGAAAAAAGATACGAATGAAGACCATCTTCCTCTAAACCGAACGGGGATCTGAAGCAAAGGCTTTGAATACGAAGCTAGTTTTGGTGAACATTGGCTTGGTGTTCTCGTGGCTGGCTTAAACATGTGGTGTCAGAGTGGGATGGGCGAGAGCGGCTGAAACCACGAAACAAATTGTACCAAAAAAACGGCTACCACGACAAAATATAGAACCGTTACGCCGCTAAGATTTGTAGCGGCCATCCCGACAAGCACGAACATACAAAGGAAATTCAAGGGAAATGCAAAGGACAATTCCCAGCAAGTACAAAGGAAACACAAGGAAACGCAAAGGAAACACAAACGTACTGCAATGGAAATACAAAGGAAATGCAAAGGAAATGCAAAGGAAATACAGTGAACAAACAAAGGAAATGCAAAGGACATACAAAGCAAATACAACAAGTCACCTCTGCGTTTCGTTCTATTTGTACTTCTTTAAACTCCATTGTATTTCCTTTGCATGTCCTTTGCATGTTCTTTGTTTCTTCCTTTGTATATCCTTTCTATGTCCTTTGCATTTCCTGTGTATTTCGTTGTATTACCTGTTGCGCGTTCTTTGCGTGTGTATTTGTATTTCCTCTGTATGTCCTTTGCATGTCCTGTGTATTTCCTTCGCGTTTCCTTTGACTTTTCTTTGCGTTTCCTTTGTACTCCGTTTGTATTTCCCTTGTATGTCAAAGGCATTTTCTTTGTATGTCCTTTGTATTTCCTTTGTATTTCCATTTTTTGTATTCCCTTTGCATTTCCATGTGTATTTTCTGTGCGTTTCTTGTGTACTCCCTTTGTATCTCCCTTGCATTTTATGTTGTATTTCCCTTGTATTTCCATTATATATCCTGTGTATGTCCTTTGCATTTCCTTTGTGTTTCTCTTGTATTTCCTTTGCAATTATTTGTATTTCTCTTGTATTTCCTTTGCATTTCCTTTGTATGTCCTTTGCATGTCCTTTGTATGTCCATTTCACGTCCTTTGTATTTTCTTTGTAGTTCCTTTGCATGCCTTTGTATGTCCTTGGTATTTTCTGCGTATCTCCTTTATTGCCTTTGCATGCCCATTGTATTTCCTTTGCGTCTCTTTGAATGCCCTTTCTATTCCCTTTGTATTTCCTATGCATGTCCTTTGTATTTTCTTTGTATTCTTTCCTTGTCGGGGTAACATGCGCATCTTGTCGTTGTAACGCCTTATTCTGTCATTCTACCTACTTTCTTGTCCTAAAGCAAAGGCTTTGAATATCAAGCTAGTTTTGGTGAACGTTGGCTTGGTGTCCTCGTGGTTAGCTTAAACATCTGGTGTCAGAGTGGGATAGGCCGACTGGGACATGCCCTGATTGGGAATCCGTGACACCGGATTGGTCCAACGAAACGTGAAGCACGGGTGAGGCTGCATCACTGAAGGCCTTGATTTCACAAGGGAGACACTGTGGGCTCTGAAGCCATGGCGGCGCCAACTGAAGCAAAGGAGCAAAGCTTCTTGCCGCACCTTGTCATTGGGGCTGGCCGTGCTTCAACTTCTCAGCCTCATGCTCCCGGAATAATACACCCGTCCGATTACGGGGTGGGGGCGGTCTGAACCTCGAAGGGGACACCTCTCGATCAACATTAACCTTCTGCTCAATCCGGGGGTCCCATGAATGGGAATTCCGGATAATCAACCCCAGTCTATTAAGATGGAATTATCACTTTTGGAACACCCCCGTTTGTAGGACGGGTTTATTAATCTGGAGTCAACATTGCCCTTTTGCTTATGGCTTTTCGGAAGATGGCAACCAAAACCCGATTGCTTTTTAACCAGGAGCATTCCTCGCCCCAAAAAGTCTCTAAAGCACATGGCACAACAACATCTTGAAGGAGTAATTAACATAGCTTGCCCGATGTTGCAGAAGCTGTAGCGATACGACCCTATCTGACTTGTACGGCAACAAAGCCAAAAACAAAAAAAAAGTGCTCGCTCAAAATGCAATGGATGCACAACAGGTCACCATGTTTAGTTGTTCATCCCCGGTTTGCTGAGCCTGCTGGAGCATTAGGAGGCTGTTTCTTCCCAATGCTGATTCATCCCCCGAAAATGCCACCGCCCCTCATCAAACAGCGGGGGTTCGATCCTGCCGCATTCCAACTGCTTTCATGTATATGAAGCACCCCCCAAACTACCCCAAATGAATAGTTGAAAGTGAAACCACCCTAAGTAACTTCGAGAACCTCTCAAGACCCCCCCCCCAAAAAAAAATAGAAAAAGGAAAAAGAACAAAAATAAGAAAGTCATCCTCATGAAGCTAAAATAAAGAAAGCCTTCCTACGAATCAAAGTCACTCCCCCCCCCCAATGCCCAATGGACTCATTCCATGGTCTTAGATACTTGGGACAACCTGCTTTGAAACACCCTGCTTTCGCACAAAACCAAAGGTCAGGTTGTCCATTCCGTGTTTCGCTTGCGTTGGCGCCGTGTCCATGACGGTTCGGGTAGTCGATGTGTTGCTGGAACGCTCCAGGGCGTCTGCGCCCTGGCTGCTGGAACTGTTTGTATTATTCACCTTGGTTGATGTGTGACGCCAAATGCTGGTATGCGCCTTGCTGACGCCATAATCTGCGCAAGCAGCGGCGTGTGAGCAACAACATGACGGGCGTTAGCCACCAAATCCTATTTGAGGGCAGCGCGATATAGGAAGTGCTCGAATGTGCCCGCGCAAGCGACCCACATGTGGAGCGGGGAACGGGGGTGCATTTTCAAGGTGGAAGTATTGGGGTCAGTGTTGTTTTCCTTTTAATGTATTTCAAGTGCGCTACTGTGTTGCAAAAATGGCCCGGACGAGGCGGGGCCAAAAATCGGGAATTTTCTTTTAGCATTTGTTAGCTTTTGCTAGAGTTTGCCAGCTTTTCGCAGCTTTTGGCGCCATGTGTTGGCCTTTTGAGCAGGTTGTGGGGGGGCTGCAAACACTTTGTCACGCTGGGCTGCCTTAATGCGTGAAATGTGACACGAAGGCCATCGCGCGCCATGAACGTTTTAGCTGAGAGGCAGTAACATGTTTGCAGAAATGGCCAAGCGAGCAGTGAAGGGGCCAGCGAAGACTAGGGGATTGTTCTGCGGTGTCCCCTTAGGTGCTTTGTAAGAGGCCCGGCTCTGTCGTGATTCGTGCGTTCAACGCGCACGCAACTAAACGTATCTTGTGGACGAAGGCAAGCGAGTTCTAACGGTGGACTGCCTCATAATGAGGAATTTCTTTTTGGTTGCAGTTCATGCTCTTGAAAGCCTTGTTGGGTTGTTTTGTTACGTTAGCCTTTTTTAGCTTTTGTTAGTTTTTGTTAGCTTTTAGCTTTCTGTAGATTTTTGTAGCTCCCAGCAGGTTTCTTATTGGAATTGGTTAGCTCCAGCATGTTGGCCCGCATGCTTGAAGCAGGCTGTTTCAAAGCGGTATGTTGCACGTTTCAATGACATGGCACCCACGTCCTCGAGAAGCCGCTGCAGGAGGTCCAGGTCGTTTTGGTGCGCCGCACGGTGCAGTGCCGGCCAGGCGCTGCTGAGGCCCTGCGAGAGAGGCGCCGCCGCAGTTTTTGGCACTCCTCTTCTTTGGTTGGTGTTCAAGGGGAACACCCCCCCCCCCAAAACCAAACAAAAAACTTGATCCAAGTGTTTGATAAACCCAAGATTTCCCCGCTAAAGGGAAAGACCCCCAGTTTAAGTCTACCTTCGGGTGGTCACAGCATGGAGCCCCGGACATGGGTGCCTTTTTGGCTTTGAGGGCACCCTTCTGCGTGTGTTTGGCGTAAAGGGAAGCCGAAACAAAGCCACGGGCTTTTCGGGTGTTCCCCCTCTATTTGCCGTTGTGATTTTTGGTTCTGCAAGCCAAAACAAAAACAGTTCAAAGGCTGGCCTTTTCGGAACGGGAGACCATTGCTGGGTGGCATCCCAATTTTGACTCATACCGATTGACATGGGTTCTGGGGATCTACCGTTCTCAAACCCCAAGGATTTGCCAGGCAAAGCACCTCAGGCTTGAGCTCGTGAGAAACCTCCGGGTGAGGTTGCATTTGCTTTTCTCGGATGGGTTGCGGGCTGGCCATACCATCCCGTTGGCTATTTGCAACAGATAGATGATGTGGCTGTTGGCGCCTCAGATAAGCCCTCCCTTGAGTTCCATGCACACCCATGCAGTGTGCCAGCAGGGAAAATGTCGTTGAGGGTGGGTGGGCATACAAGAGTTTCTCCAAATAGGAAACCCTGAAAGTGTGTGTATTTCCGGTTACCCTCCAAACAGCAAAAGGGGGTGCCCATCCGGGGGCGCAAATTGTCCTATTTCACCCACCGGCACGTGGACGTCACCCCAAATGACGCCAGCTGATGAGTGCCACCGCGCCTGCGCGCCGTAGCCCAAGACAAAGCTCTGCAAGTTGCAGGTGGCCTTGGACCCCAAAAAGCAGCACGCTGCGTCTTCTTTTTGGAGGCTAGGCCCTTCTTTTGGAGGGGCTCGTGGGCTTCAAAAGAAACCCGAGCTTGGGGACGCCTGGGCGTGTCCTGTTCAGAGGCTACCTTTTTTGATGTGGTTTGGAGGGGAAACCGAAGCGTCAACTTTTGGGCTTCCGAGTAGTTTGTTTGAAGCCCCCGTGTCCTTGGCCCGCCTCGGGGCGTTTTGCTCAGAAACTGGGAAAGCCGGAAATTGCAGCAAACATATTTAGGGCACAAAATGAAGGTCCGGGAATCGCGCTCGTTGCAACCAAGAATCTTGCAAGCTCCTTTGCCTTCAGGAACCTACCCTGGACGCCTCTTTCATCCCACGCCAACACTCCTTCGCCAGCTGAGCAAGCCCCAATGCGCCCCCGGTTAGAATCAGCCACGGGGAAAGGCACTGAGACAAGCAAAAGCCAAGAGCGGATCGGGGATGCTGAGGCTAAGGGCACCCCTAGGAAGGGTAGGAACACTACCCTCACAGGCGCCATGCGCAAGAGTCATCCAATCAGGCTGGGACCAAAGCAAAGTGCTGGAGCCGTAAAGCCGCTCAAGCAAGATCATTCCAATTTGCCGAACTTTGACGGACCAGCCCCACCCACTAACGGTGAGAAAATCGTGAGAGGATGGAAACAGTCCAAGTGACGAGGTTAATTCATAGGGGTAAAGCGGTAGCGTGGTCTGCACGGAATCAGTTTTTGAATGGCTGTCCCCGTTGAAACAAGCAGGAAAACAAACAGTCGGAGAGTGCCACCATCATTTTGGAGAGCCACCCAGCTAAGGTTCTTGGCAACTAGCGACATTTCTTTAATAAGCACGTGCCTTTGAGCTCCCGGCGTGCGGGAAGTTGTCCCCGAAGTAGACGGCCTCAGAGTGCCGAAGTGGCCCAAGGGCGGGCCGCCTAGACCGCACAGTCATCAGAGGGGTTGCTCCACGCGAGCAGAAGGTCGTGCTCGACCTTTTGTAGGTTTCATAGAAAAGCCACTTGCGCGTCTTTTTCAGGATTTGGACCGATCCGCGGTCATAAGCGCTTTGCAAACCCAACTGTGGACCACATCGTACATCGCGTCAAGGTCCGGAGAATGGTTGTGAGTCGCGAGGTGGCAGTTGGGGACCAGTCTGCACCGCGAGCAAAAAAGGAGGTACCAACTCTAAAATCGACACACATCCATTTGTGTCCAACACCTCGGTCTCGGCCTTCAAAGAGTCACACGCCGTGAGCCTGGCCTGAGTAGAGCCCCGAGCCCCGAGCCTCCCCCGGCAGCTGCACGCAGAGCCAGGGCTCCTCGGCCGTTCTCACCATGGACCCGGATGAATACACCCCTATTTATTAATATCGGGGTTGGGGCCCCTAAGTGATCAATCCCCAAACCATGGACACCACCCTTTTTCATAAACAGGGTCAACATTTTGCGAAACCTGGCAAATGAGCTTCCGCTGAGATGGTTTGCGAGCCCAGTAGAGAGGTTGGAGGTGGCCTTCCAGTTATACCCTCCACAAGAATCATGGGCTTAAATCCCAAACCGGCTTCTGTTTCTGCCGGCAACACAAACAGAAACTCACTAAGCAGATCACATCCAGCGGGTGATGTTGCAAACTCCACACGGGAACGCTCCAGGAACCTTGTCTCTAAAAATTGCGGTGTTCCTTTGGGTTCTGCTGTAAACCAACCTGAGAAGGACACCCTAACAAAACACATGGCCATACCCAAATGTAGCCAACCTGACTTCCGCCGCGTCCGCTCACCCGTCCTCCCCCAGTCCGCTGCGTTTTGCAGGTGCCGCCCCTGGAGAGAAAGAGGGCACCCCTTCTCAATCCGCGCGTTCCGCCGCACACGACCGACTTGTTGGCTTAGCCCTCCAAAGCCCCAAAACAGGGCCTGCGCAGAAGTTTGCACCCGGGGCAAATCACATGGACATGGATTGGCCATACTTTAAGAGGGGAAGTCATGAAAGGAAAAGGAGACCAGGGTGCCACCGAACCATCCAGCTCCCGCTCTTTCCTTTGAAGTGTCGGCAAAACAGCATCCCCGCAAGGCATAACGAGCTCTGTGCTGAAGTCGCATTCAAGGTTTGATGGCTATGCCTGACCCCAAATAGCCATCTCTCACTGACAACATCCTGCAACTAAACGTGCCAGTGGCTCGTGAAACCAAATTCCCCCGACCCCCCGCCTTTGACATGCCGCAGTGCCTCACAGGGATCCCCAAGGAGCAGCTTGTCCAGGTCAGTACCTAGGCTTCACAACCTGGAGATCGGGCCCGGGTACAACCTCCGGCAAATGTGTCACCCAACCAATTCGCGCGCCCATCCTAGTAGTGATGAAGTACATGTTTTGCGCAAGCACCTAGACTTTTGCAACTTTAATTTAAGGTGCCCTGGTCAGAGTTGGCCTGAGGCTGGTGAGTGGTTGGCCTGAGGCTGGTGAGTGGTTGGGGCATGGCTTGTAGAGTCCTGGTAATTTCCATTCAAGAACCTAGTACGTGACTCGACTTGAAGGAGCCGATGTTTCAGCGAGAGCGTGGCTTTGGTGCAATCGAGTGTTTCAATTTGCTGCGGGTTGCGCTCCTTCTGCTCGGAGAGTCCTAGGCTCCATGACAAGCTTGATTGAAGTTGGGTTCGCCACGCAAAGCCAGGTTTTTATGGTTTGCCCACCTTAGGGATACTTAAAGGAACAGGGAACCTAGCAAGTGGTTGATAACCATGGTAAGAAGCCACTTATGGATACCCTCGTTCAGTGGATTGTGACCTGTATTACCGACTTCCCCGCCCCTTCAAGTATAAATCAGTACCCACCAAAAAAAAAAAAAACGCCCCGCCCCAAGTATAAATCAGTACTGATTGTGTACTCCCACAAAAAACCAACAACGCCAAATCTTGATGTACCTGTACCTCACCCGCATTTATTCAGGCCCCCGCAATCACCCTGCGGTTTGGATTGGGGGACAAAGAAACCACCCGCCCAGACCCCACGTCCCCCCGATCCACCGATCGACCGATCGGCCGAGAGGCCGGGCTTGGCCAGCCACCAGGCCTTGGCCCCAGCCAGCAGCAGCTGCCAGGTCTCCGAGTGCTGGTGGCTGCGGGTGCTGGAGCCCTGCCAAAGCCGGAAGCCGTTTTTTTTTGGAATCGGACCAATGCGGTTGTCCCAATGTTGTTTTTTTCCAAAAAAACACGTGGTTTTCCTTTTGGTTTCTCTTTAAAACCACACAAAAGGCGCACCCTCACAAAAAGACACACCCGTATTTGTCTGAAGAAAACGGGTGAGAATGGGTTGAAACCCTCAGACCCATTACCAGTGTTCAACCCTGGATTTTACAAAATTCAGTACGGGGCAAAGATACAAGATGGTGCCAAGCATTGACCCCAGGCACCTTTTGAGGAGCAACGTTTGAGAGCCACCTTTTCGGGGTGGCTTTGAAAGGGACAGCAACGGGAATTGCGCAATTTTCGAGGTCCAAGTCCTACCTGAAGACACACCCATGAAGTGTCAACGTTTTCGGACCTGGCCTCTGGTAGCTCCTCTCAAAAGACGCACTGACACATACTTCCCTTCCTGGCTAAGTTAGTCAGTTTTGATTGCCATGGTGTAGTCTCCTTTTGGTGGCGTGACAAATCAGGAACCTTGCCCTGAACGAAAAGGCACGCCGTGGGATTCGCCAACTTACAACGCATTGGGAACATAAGAGCGCCAACCAGCCATATTGTACACAACGGCTACGAGGTTGCTTACTTCCTTCTGGTCCCTTGGTGGCTTGCGGCTCCAATCCAAGAGAGGCCTTGGAACTCAAAAGGCGACACACGCAACGCAGTCTTTTGGACCTTATGGCACACCTCGCAGCCAAATGATAAGGCACAACTTGATTTCCCCACTCCCAAAAAAAAACACCAATCACTGGGTCTGCTTGTCGGCGGTGCCACCTTTTAGGAATCCCAGCAAGCCGATGACATTGCTCAAACGGGTCCGTAGCTTGATATCTGCAACAAGCACCCTTCCGCCATCCAATCAAACAAGTACCTGAAGTGCAAAGCCCCCTGGAATGAAAAAGGCAACAATGTGCAACAGGTGCGCTTGGTCTAGCAAGCGGGCATCATCTGACACCTGCTTTACCCCCCTAACCAGGCTGAGTTGTCCAAAAGGAAACTGCACACAATAACAAACAATCGCAGAAAACACTCCATGCTGGCAAAGGTCTGGAACAGAGTAGGCGGCAAAACTGCAAATGGAAATCAAACTCTGACTGCGCTGCACTCCTGCAAATTAGCATGCCAAAAACAATCATATGGGTTTGCCTCCACATGGGGAAACGGCCCACAAAATGTGTTGCTTCCCTTTGGCCGCCCTTTCAACCAACCCCAGAATGGGTACCCTCAACAAAAGGAATCCCCCATGTTGAGGGGCACCTCCCCTTGGCAGGGTACCCTTAAAAAGTTCCACCGCAGCAAGCTAACACGAGGCGAAGAGCTGGAAGTTTGCCATTGACACAGAACCCCGCAAAGAAAAAACACAAGGCTTCCATGACCGGAACAGGCATGTTTCGTTTTTGGAGGCGGTATAATATAACCACCAGAAAGCCGTGGAAACTCAGACAAAGGGTCATTTGGGAGCATTGAGCACCATCTTCGACCACCAGTCAATCGCCAAAAGGGTATCGGCAGCCTTGACCCCCACGGAGAGGATGGGCCGCGCGTCGAAGGTACGCAGCGCAGGCGGCAAAGGGCCCAGAGCTGACCAAACGTCTCCTGGCTTCTTTGACCCATGCTGGATTCTGGTTGTTTCTGTGGATCTTGCTTCTTTTTTGCAATTCCCTGGCGTTGCCAAAGCAAACTCTGCATTTGCCAATGGCAAAGCCGTTCAAAGAAGGGGAGGCTGGCGCACTGACAGTACCCAGGCAACTCAATTATAATGACCACAGTAACAATGGTAAGGATGACAGAGTAGTCCCTCGTCCTCCTCCTCGCCATCATTTCCATCACCAGCATCATCATCACCATCACCATCATCCTCATCATGACCCTCCTCCTCCTCCTCCTCCTCCTCCTCCTCCTCGTAATCATCATCATCATCATCATCATCATCATCATCATCATCATCATCATCATCATCATCATCATTGATGATCATCATCACCATCACCATCACCATCACCATCACCATCACCATCACCATCACCATCACCACTTCAGGTCAATGCTGCAAGACCATCACGGAAGCTAAGACTGAACACAACAAATGCTCCTGCAAAACAAAATGAGATTCCTGGTCAAAGGCAAGTAATCCTTAAGACTCAACAAGTTCATAGCACGACACAAGCTATGACTTTCAGCTGCTGGACAAAGCTGACCCCGCTGAAAGAGGCAAAACTTGAAATCAGCATGACAATGTCATTGGATGTCAGGTTGAAGCTTTGACAAGTTGTGAGCCTCACCCTGGAAACTGGGGAGAGTCATTGTAAAAGGTGCTCAACGGTACCTGGGGATTTGGCACCCTTCAATTTCGCGGAGAGCTGATCTGGAGGGACCATGAAGCAGCCGTGGAATGAATCGAATTTGGTGAGGGGATGCAGTGAAATGCGGGCCATTCCTCGGATCAGCAGAACTGAACATAGTTGTTTTTTTCCCGAAGCTTTGACTAAAAAAGAAGCATGAAACCCCAAGGGCCATCTTCTGGCTGAGGGTTTGGCCCTGAAATCCATGGAGCTGAGGGGCTCTGCAGGGAGTAAGCCATGTCCGCGAAGAAGAGGTTCGACTCTGAGAGCTCTTGGGACAAGTACTCCGCCAGCGGCACCACCGCCTGGCAGGCTTGACCCCGAGCACCCATGGGTCCCTCAAGCGGGGCTTTGACAATGGCTGACTACGGTTACTACAATATTTGCAAGGTCCATGACCATCCCCGCTAAAGAGTGCTTTGAATTCAGTATGGCTCACATGCCTCAACCATCTACTTCTATGCGGCTATGTTAAAAGGAAAACCAAGTGACCAAACAACATCCCTGAAGGCTCCAGTGAAGAAAAACGGAGTTGAGGGATGATGTTTGGTTTGATATCCTAGACCCCAACCAGACGAATAAAGAGCACTGTCGTTTTGGTATATAGTTGATTCAAAGGGAATTCCCACAAAAAGTCTTTTGGTCGGGTCGCCTGGGATTTCCTAAAGCGGCAGATTTCCTGCAGGCCTTGGAACGCAAGAAGTCGAAGTGGCCGTTGTTCGTCTTGACGCGGTAGGCCCCGAACTCGCGCAGGAACTCTGCCTAGGAAAATCCGCGTTACCCCCCTGAAGTCAACATGAAACCCAAAAAATGTGTCCAAATACAGGTTCCAAATCTCATCATTGGTGGAACAGTTGCAACAACCATTCCGCCAATGACAAGATTTGGGATGAGGTCTGCAGAGTACGCAAGGGGATGGGCCAACTTAGGCTTTCTACGAGGCCCTGAGGAAACTCGCTAACAGCACACAACTCAGTTGCCTGGACTGGAAATACAAAGTTCCCCTTCTGACTCGACGAAATGTCGACCAACAAAAATAAGCCCAAAGGGTTCTGCGAAAGGGTTTGAAACAGAGTTTCGGGATGGATAAAACAGGCCCTAACCCACCAACAAGAAGAGACCACCTTATCCCCCCGGTCCCAAGGGCAAAGCGGGTGCCCTCGGCCGGCACAAACACGAACCAAAAGGGTGCCTTTAACCAAAAGATGAATGAACCCAGCAAGGGCAGAGACAACCGAAAGCAAGCACAAAGCAGCAAACCAAGCAGGCAAACAATGCAGTGCAGCGAGCAAGGCAAAGCAAACCAATTGCACACCAACTCCAACCAGAAACCCCCGACCAACCTCCGCCAAGAACACCACCACGAGCGCACGGCAACAGCACAACGTGCTGATGAAGTGCGCGACGTGCCGCGATGTTTCAGCGCCGAAATTGCGGGATCGAGTCGCCGAGTTGAAAAGCTTGAGCCAAATGTCGCATTGGACATCGGCATGAAAAGACATACGCTATGATAAAAGTACATGCCCCCAAAAACACCCCCCTCGCCTGTACAAGGAGAGGAAGTGAATTTGGAAGGGCGCATTGGCCATGTTGAAGTTGAAAAGCAATGAACAAGAAAACCAAAGCCGATTAGGCTACCAGGGTTCGCGACCCCATACCCGGGCACTCTTTGGTGCCCGGATCCCGCCACCACCCCGAATTACGGGTATGGAGCGGATTCGCGCCGGTAGCCAAATCAAACGAGAGAAAGCAAAAAGAAACAGAAACAAAGATTCAACTCCAGAATGGCAGGCATGAAACAAAAATACATTTGCAATGCAACCACAACGAACCGTAAGGTTCAGGTGGATTTAGTTCCTGAATTCATGATTCAGGCGCATTGGCCCATTGGTTGAAACATGGTGCTTCGACCACAAGACCTTGGTCTTTAAAGTAGCACCGTCTAGGCGCGCGATCACGCAACGACCTTCGGCAGGAGTACCACCAGCTGCAATCAGCGGTTCAGGTCCGAGTAGGGCCTCACCGGCAGCGGTTCGGCGCATCCGTGATCCTCACCACAGCACCTTGATGGATTCCATCACCAGCAGCAGCAGCGGTGCTGGATGATGCCGACCACCAGCAGCCGTAGACGCCGGCGAGGGTAACTGCCTTGCTGTGACGACGCACACCTGACGGGTCATCGCAGCTTGCGCGAATAGCGCACAGCCACGCATGCAATTAAATTCTGGAGTGGCGAATAGCCGAATCATTGAAATATGGCAAGGAGCATAGTCCTCCCGGAAAAATCACCGGCATAAAGGCATGCGCGCGTTGGCGCAGTCGTGCAAAAAACGCATGGGCAGACTTCAGGTATCACCGATGTCGCCCACCGCCGTGCCGCCCCTTCCCCTTGCTGGCATTCCAGTCCCCAGGGGGTCTCGGCCAACTCGTCACCGTCACCCCAGGTAGGGGTATGCGGCGAGCTCGGATTCTCGAACTCGCGGGGATCACCCTGCATGTGCGATTGCCAACCCTGCGGCATTGCGCCAGGCCACATTTGTGGCATCATGCCAGCCATGGGCTGTTGCATGTACCCTCCCATTGGGAAAGTGGGGTACATCGGACTCGGGAACGGGTAAGGGGCAGCCTGTGCACCCTTGAATCCCGACCCGCGAGCATCAGGCTGATACCCGCCAGTGGGAGTTCTCGATCTGGCGGATCCGCCACGACCGAACTGTCCTTGTTGGTAGCCGTATTGGCCACCCTTGCCTTTGTACTGGTCACCCTTGTGACCCTTTCCTGGAAACTGGTCACCCTTGTGACCTCCACCCTTGGGCTAGGACTGCGCAGGGGCTTTGCCCTTTTGCTGATCCCCCTTTGACCTGGATTCAGGTCGCGGGGTAGCAGACCGTTGGTCTCCCCTAGGAGTGGCTGCCCGCCTGTGGTGTTTCCCAGCCGGCGGGTCAGCAAAAACAATGGCGCATTGGCCGTCGCGCCGTGCAGCGGGGACCATGTCAACCTTGTTGTCCTCGACATAAATGTATGCCTCAGCATACTCAATTGGGGCCGTGATGGATCCACCACTGGCCCGCAGAGAGTCGATACTCCAATCAAGAACAGTGGAGGCATCGAAACTCGGATCCTCACTATTGAAGTCCGCGAGGCGTCGCTCGGCCTGTACCAATGACATAATGATGTCCGCTCGTGAGGCGCCTAGGCCATACAGCGGAACCAAATACCCGTCCTCAATTCCGATGCGGTAGGCATCAAAAATATGCACTGAGAGGTAAAGGGCAAATGCTGAATTTAGACTGCCTTTTCTCGTCATATGACGACCCCATTGCGCCGCCTGCTGCGGGTGCTCGATCAAATATGTAAAAACAGACATATTGTCTGGAATCGAGACGCCAGTATTGCTCTCCTCGATGAGCAGCTGTTTCGCTACCCACCGCTCGAGAGCCTCATCACTCGCACGCACACAAGCGTGAGTGTCCTTTGAGGTGACCTTGGCAACCTCCTGAAACGCGACTTGCACAACATCCGCATTGGGAGTGTGCACAAGGTGCGGCGCACAGCGCAAACCGGTGATCATACAGCTGACCACCTCGCGGATCGGGTTTACCGATGCCATGAGAGGAGCCCACGCGTCGGTCTCCCCTTCGTACCAGCTACTGGCACGGACTGCTTTGAGTCCCTCTAGCCAGATTGGCTGCCCATTCTTAACCAGAGAACGGACGGTGCCTGGCACCCATTCACGATAGAAAATCGGCAGATGGCAACCATTGCATAGAATGGTGCCATACATGTTCAAATGCGCGCACCGAGGGCACCAGTAGTCATGCATGGGAGCATTGTCCCATGAAAATGATACCCCTCTCGGCGGTCCCTGAACATTCAACTCACGAACCGCCCAGGGACGGATGTATATTACATCCCCTTCCTGGTGCAGATAGCATGCGCGCCAGAAGGGTGCATGTATCTCTTCCCGCACGGCAATCAAACCGCGTCGGGTTTTATAGATGCCGGCGGCTTCCTCGATGGCCATCCACTTTAGGTCAATGGCCACAACGACATGGCGCTTGTCCATGTATTTGACGCGATCGTCAACATAAAATTCGCCCTCATTATTGGGGCTGGGCAACTTGAGGAGAGGCACCTTTGCGCCTTCCATCCCAATCATGATCTCCCCCCTGCAGACCTGCTCAGGCCGCATGGGGAAAACTGTGATGGCGAATTTGCCAGGCCTCCGAACGCACCTCGTTTTGAGGGCGGACCGATACTCGGCCATCGTCAGCAGCACGTATCCCGTATAAGGGACTTCAGCTGCTCCCATCGGCCTAAGCAATGGCCCGATAGGCGTTCGGTCACGCAGTGCCCAACGCTTGAAAACTTTGAACGGCACGTCCCTCCCGATTAGGGTGGACCGCGCAAAAAGCACCTCATTCGGGCGCACAGTCGTGCCATCTGTCCTCCAGACTGTCCGTATTAGGAGCTCGACTGGAGGGTATGTTGGGCTCTCCTTCGCGAGAGCGCCCGCCCAGGTCGCCACCTCGACATCCAACCTCCCAGAATGTCTGGAACCGTTCCACATAAGGGGGGCTGCTCACCGGGCTTCACATTCAGCCGCGTTGGGTCAGTGTTGCCCGACAAAATTTCCAACAGCATTTGCGACTCTCTGGAGCTTCGTCCAGCCATCGCCGACACATCCTTAATTTCGGGGAAAAAATGGAAGATGTCGTTACCGGCAGGACAGGCGATTCTGCCTGCTATCCCGCTCTGTGCATCAATCACAACCTCCTCACCCTCGTATGTGAGGTTGTAGGTGCTCGAAATCGGGCACACACCGGGCTTTGCCATTAGTGCCTCTTCCAACGACGCACCTGTAGGGAGGACGCCCTGTACGTGCGGCTTGGTACCTATGGGACCAGTACTCGCGGACATAAGCCGATAATTTTCGGCACGAAAGTATGGAAAAAGGTTCTTCATCCTTTCAATTTCCTCATCAGTGGTACGCCACGCCTTTGCCTCATAGTAAGGCGGCTCCTGCTTTGAGGGCACTAGGTCGCGGTCACCCATTGATGAGAATTTGTCCACATATGGGCCCATCCCATCATCATCTACGTGACTCTCGTGATCTTCATCCGAGATGTACTCCTTGGGCGGTTCGCCCAGAGCGTCCAGATCGATCTTACCAAGGTCGACCAGCGCCGGAGAATCCAGGACTCTCTGGATCCTCATGAGCTCGTTCCTAAACTGCTCA